CGCGTTACCTCGTCCTTCAATTCATCAACACTGTTCTCAAAGGCAACGGAGCGCGCAAATAGCTTCGCTCGGTATCGACGTTGGATATCTCGTCGACTCTGTCGATGACGTAGGAGGCGTCGATAGTCGTCTTGGTCGTGATCTATAGACCTCTTCTGCACCCTCGAGTTCGACACAATTGCGCCCGCAATTATGGCGGTGGATTGAGTGGCATTGACCGCTTGGTCTTGAATCTCGTGGACGTTGAACATGTTGGAGTCGCGCTTTACATGTTGTCTCACACTACCAATGACAGTGTCACTCAGGGCTTGGATGTTTGGCGGGTAAAAAGAGTAGCTTGTCATCGCGAACGGTACTCGGGTGTTTGTAAACTGAGTTGAAGGAGACTCTCTTCGAGTGGTTCGAGTACTGATGAGTCACGTTGGGGGTATCACGTGACTAAGCTCAAACCGTGGTGACTTTGTCGCGATAAGGTTTAGTCACGAATAGTGCCACATGTCTATGTGTACTTGAAGGTCGCATAGGGTACTCCACACAAAAATAGTATCGAACAATTTCATTCATCAAAACCAACAGTAACGCATCAAAGCATGTACCGCATTTGTTCCACAGCCGTCGTTTATATAGGCTGTTGACATTTTGGTTTTGCATTTTGACACATTGAACTAGCAATTCGCCATTTTGAAGTTGAAAGGTGTAGTCGATCAAGAGGAGACGGCGAAATGACTGTCCAGCAGTAGTTTTGCAAGAGTAGGTCACCGGTTGGAAGAAACCACTTGGTCGTGCCGACCAGAATGAAGCGGTCACTTTCGTTGTACTTGCTGAATGTCGATACAGCATTAGTACACAGCATACCTTCGACCATCACGTTCACATCGATAGACGTTGGCCTATTTCGTCGTATCTGTAGCGATAGCATAACCACAATATGTTAGTATTCGCTTTCCCTCACCAAAAGCCTACATACAGCGAAAAGACGGATCGATGGCCTTCCTGGTGCTTGAAAACAGTTGCCATAAATTTCTCCTATCTGCTACACCGTGGGACTTGTACAGGTGTGGTCGAACTGGATTGTATGCAGTTATTCAGAGAATGTGCATCCTTCGAAAGGAGGCCTTTGCACTTTCATCCACAACTGACAGCATCGTGACGAAGCCAATCCAAACTGTTCGGCATCTCAGCAAGTACAAGGTTTCCGAAGCTTGGCTCACGCATCGGTCGCTCAAGTTTCTGCTGGAACTGCAGAACAAACTCAATATCCTGCGTCACGAAGACATAAATTTGTGAGCATTAAGGCAGTGTCACCTGTAACGAATTGGTCTATCTAGATGTTTCAGAATTGGAGCACGAAGCTTCGCCTGCTCAGTCAGCATAGCCTTCAGTTCTCCATTGAGTTTCTCAGCTTGACATCGCTTATCGCTCTCAATTGCTGCTATGCCTCGCCATGGTTCGTAAATCTAATAAGACTCTCCGCCACTATTGTGACGCACTTAATCTGATCTAGTCGCGCCCCTTGCATCTCTGCGAGTTGGGTACTTAACGTCTGCACTTCCAACTGAAGGAACTGATTCTTGACACGATTGCGGCGCTGGAGCTCCGTAAGAGTATGACACGTCTCTTACTAGCTTACACTCCTGTTTTGGTCTACGAGCTTTAGTGAATGTTCTGCGCTTAATTGTCAGGTTGTGTCATCCCCTGTGCTCTTATGCCGAATTATTCTCGTACATGTATAGCGATCATCACTATGTTAGTATATCCTGTCATATCTGCTACTGTAGTATGGTCTGTACCTCCTTGTTGAATGTTACAATACTTAAGTATTTATTACCTTCAAATTGATATTCTGAAGCCAACCAGCTTATTGAGGGATCCATGATTATACGGATAGTACGTTTTGGTCCCAAGGCTGGTCTCAATCGTTGACTTTGTTCAATACGTTGGTGTTTCGTATTTTACGCTATTAGCACTAGTCACCAATTGCGTCGTGAAGACCCAAAGACAATAGTGAGGCATGACTTGAAGTATGAATATCCATCGGATACGCCAAGACATTGCTTTCTTTGGAGCTGCGAAATGTGGACAATGTCCATCATTATCTAGCTACCCCGTGCCAAGACAATCACTACCACCAATGTGTCCATCGCCGATCTTTCCAATCTTACTATGTTCGATACCACGCGAGTTTTCTTCATTCCTCGATTCTCCAATCTCTATTAAGATGATTCGAGTGGTCCTTCTTGCCGCCTTAGTGGTTTCCGGCGTTTCCACTGCTGCCATAACTACCAACTCCACGTCGTCATTGTCAAGTTCCAACACAGCCTCGTCAATAACTAGTACCAGCTCAACACTAACGCAGACTTCTTCGAACAGTTCGGCGACCGATTCGGTCTCCTCTGCATCTGCTACATCAGACTCGTCAGCCAGTGATTCTGATATTTTAACGGACTCGAAATCCGACTCGACCAGTGGACAGAGCAGCTCCGGTTCGACGTCAGAATCCGACTCGTCCTCTTCAACGTGGCTATCAGGCTCTTCAGGTGGTGCTATCGCACCTCGTTCCGGATCTGCACTGTCGAGTTCGGATTCCACGCCTCAAGTCGCAACTTCATTGACTGTTATGGTGGCTATAGGAATAGCTCTGAGTGCCTACTTCCTGTAAAATGCTAATTCGTCAGGAAACGTCGTTCCTATGCACGGACTGCAGTAGCTCGTGATATCGTAACTAAGGACATGTTTGATCTTGACATTGTGCGCCGATTTCAATCAACTTACTACGCACTACACACTTGCGCTCATCGTGACGAAGTAAACTTGCATGGACTGAGTGCTGGTTCGCATATTCGGTTACCGACCAAGTCCAGGATCGTCTTCGGTGCTTGACGTTTGGCTGGCGAGGTGGGAGCCACTTGCAACTTGTAGCAGTTCCGGCTCACACTTTCGTGTCCAGAATTCGCCGGTGACGGCGAGATGACGGCAAGTTGTAATCTTGCAGCATGATACCGGCGCTGAGGGGGCACCACATTGCGGTTCCGGCTAGAACAATCGGGTCTTCCACGTCGAATCGACGGAAGACGCTTATAGTGTTAAGCATCTGTATACCATCTCGTCAGGAAACGACAAGCTGGTCATATTGAGAGGCCCAGGCAATTTCTTGTCAATCTGTCCTTATATTATTGCTGCTAGATGTCATACACAAAGGCAGGATAAAAGCAAACACTTACATAGTCGACGGCGTTGTCAGCTTTATTGCGAATTGTAGTGGCAAAATACAACAGCAAATCCCCAGTCTCTAGAACAGAACTTGGCATTGGAGTTGTTGAAGTTATTCCCCAACAGTTTTGAAGGAGGAAAGTTTGGCAACGATAAGAGATCAGTGTGGACGTGCCCACGACAGGGAACACGTGGATGTCTAGCCGTACGTTGTTCCCCAGTTCCTCCGTTATCTCCTCGCAGAAGTTGTGTTGAAAGAGTGGAATATCAGGTCGAGGTTTCCTTTGGTGGAGAATCCGTTTCCTTAACATTATAGAAAAAATGGTTTGTTTTGTGACCTTGCCATAGTTGTCTCTAGACTGTAATGTACGTTAATAGCATTAGTTTTGCCAAGCATTTGGAGAATGGAAGATCGACAATATCTTGATTTGCAGTTCATCCGCTCTGCGGTTTGTCGCTACCGGTACTCACAAGCAATGGCAGCCACGCCTCGCCAATTAATAGTTCGTTGTCGCTAATTTCCGGGAGAGAAGACAGCCGATGTATTCTTGATGTGTACTTGACATCTACGCTTCAACTGAGCGAGCTGAGCGGTCAGGACTTTCACTTTGACGCAATTTTTTTTCGATTTTCAGTTCTCTTGCGACGCTGCAGCTCCGTCGAGTATGGCGCTCATTCACGCTGGTGGTTGATGATATTTATTGTTGGTTTTTCGAGCATCTTCGCGACTTTAAGGTCTTCATTTTCGCTTGTCGACTCATCGCTGGTAAATTGACAGTCGAGTGAATCGAGGAATTGGAATATCGTGGACAGACATTGCTTCAGGTGCCAGACACGATGAGGTATTCATAGTAAAGTATGATTGTTCAGCCGTGTATTTTTTTTTTTTAAGATCTGACATTATGAATGACGTATGAAATGCAGACCGGTCCACTTTCTCTAAGCTCTCGTGCTTCTGTATGGAGATGAGGTAAAAGAACACGCCTAGAACCCCCCCCCCCCCCCCTATATTCATTGTTGAATGCATTTCAATAACATATCCACGCAAAATCCATTTATCGTGGCGATGCCTTACCAGTGACACTACTTTTGTAGTACATGTTAACGTTGTTGGCCAATCTGTACTTTCCTCCGGTTAGATCTAGCCGAGGACAGCGCTGCTAAGTAGGTGGTCTTGCATCGCCTGGTAGGCGTTGCGCATTTTACTGCTCACAGTATGAAACATCAATTTCTGCTCTTCGGTGATGCAAGTGGGGGAAGGCCTCGCCATCTCGAGTTTGTAGCAGTGACGCATCATGCAAGCTTCTTGTCCATTACCAGGTGAAGGTGAGATAACAGTCCAACTGTAGTCTTGTAGAAGCAATTGTCCACTTGGTAGAAACCACTTAGTAGAGCCGACTAGAATGATGCGGTCCCCCTCGTCATATTTGCGAAATGTAGTCACAGCGTTGCTACACAGCACACCTTCGACCATCGAAGCAACGGCGTTCATATCGAGAGGAGTTGGCGTCTTTCGTCGTACCTATAGTAGTACATCAACAGCATGGGGTCAGCATACTTCACTGCCAAGACAATTTCGTCAGTATCCCACGTACATAGCGAAAAGACGAGTCGCTGGCTTTCTTGGTGTTTGAAGCATGTCGCCATAGCATTTCACCTATCTGTTGCACCGTGCAACTTACAGGAGTGATCGAACTGGACTGGATGCAGTTGCTTAGAGGAATGTGCTGCCAACGAAACGAGACCTTTGTACTGTCATCCACGACTGACAGCATCGTGTCGGTATCGAGTCGAAGCCAATCTAAACTACTCTCCATCTCGTCTAGCACAAGATCACCGAAGTTTGGCTCCCGCAGCGGTTGCTGAACTTTCGGCTGCAGTTGAAGAACAAACTCGATACCCTACGCCATAGCCATACAAAGTGTTAGAATCTCGACCATGTCTACATAACTTTAGCTACACGAAGTACCTCAAGGACTTCTTTCCTCCTTATCATCTTGAGTACGGGAGCTCGAAGCTTCAACTGCTCAGTCAGCAAACTCTTCAGTTCTCTGTTGAGTTTTTCAGCCCGACATCTCTTCTCGCTCTCAATTGTTGCTAGACCTCGCCAACGACTCGTAGATGTATCGGAATCGTTTGTCCCAGTTGCTACGTCTTTGATCCGATCTTGCCGCGCCGCTTGCAGTTCTGCGAGCTGACTACTAAGTGCCTGGACTTCCAGCTGCAAAGCGTTGGTCCAGACGCGTTTGCGACGCTGTAGTTGCGTCGAGTAAGGCACACCACGTAGTCTCTTGCGCTCCATCATCGAACGTGCTTCTTCGTGGATTCTTACGTTTTGATGCTGTTTTTAAATTGTGCCAGATGACATCCCTGGCGTTCTTATACATGTACAGAGCTTCTCCTCAGTAAGGCTGATCGGTATCGATGTTATTTTTGGAGTAGATGAATTGTCAACGATAATTTTAATTTGCAAAGCACAACTTTGCTTATCAGATATGCAGGGGTATGTGAAGATAGTGTTAGTCTTATTTAGGGGAACTTAAGTAGCACAGACAGCTGTTGATTACTGTTGAATGGAATGCACTGATAGGAAAGAACAACAACCACGGTGACATTTGCTAATATCCATTTGTAGTGACGATAATGAAGAGTTTTCAGTATATATTGATAGTGTTAGTGGTTCTTTGGCAGCATAGTTCTAAACTAAGGAAGCTATCTTTGTTAAGTAACAGCAACGCACTATGAGCCGTGAAAGTAGCGCCCGTAAATCCTAGTCTGCTAAACTCACACAATCACTGGCCGAGTCCACGGGAGTCTTGTGACAGGGCCGCCCAAATATTTGAGTCATTGAATACTCACGCAATCAGGCGCTACATTCTATGTGCCCGTCACTGCCCAACAAATGCGGTAAGATTTGGGTTATTATTGTATACTTAGGGTAAATAGAATGGTACAGTTCAAATAGAGATAGAAGACTGCGTGGATCTCATACAAATTGTATGGTACAATGTTCAAAGGTAGTGAGTATAAAAAGCACTGACTCGTCACCCGTTAACATCCAAACTACTATATCAAACTCGTAATCGTATGCAGTGTTATAATAGTTCGAGCGAGTCTTTCCATTTGAGCGATTTACTTCGCTATGAACACACCGGTGTGTCCCGAGAATGACACGTCGAAACTGCCAGCAATACTCGAACTAGGCCAATCTAATCTAACTTCGCAAATTCCCCGGATGAGCTGTCGCACCAAAAGAATCATCCTGTGCAGACCGAGAAGAATCATGCTACGAAGGCAGAGAAGACTCTGAAGAAGCACACCGCAGGTAAACTCATGCCATATTCGACGGAGCTACAACGGCAGAAGAGAGCTGAACTCCGGGAGCTTCGAGTACAAGCAGAAGAACTGGAGGACCAACTCGCCGAGTTGCAGATAATACGCCAGGTACACGTGAACAACGTGTCGTTAGGAAGTCATGGACAAAACACGGTTTACTGGCGGAGCATGGCTGTCGTTGCCTGTGAGCAGCGAAAACCGCAGAGCGTATGAATTGCAAGCTCAAGGCAATCATGGCAAACCAAGAATACGTCCGATCAAGTATCCTCCGCGTGATCTGGACAGCTGATGCTTCAATGTATGGTACTTCCTGGAACAGCTACATCTATGGTGAGTTTACAAAGCTAACACTATTTTTCTGTATAACGTTAAGCAACTGGACGTGGGCCTTCTCCACAAAAGGAAACCTCGATCGGAGATCCCACTGTTTCAACACAACTTCTGCGAGGAGATAACGGAGGAACTGGCAAACGAAGTAAACAACCTGTATCATGAGACATCCGCGGTTCTCCCTGCCGTGGATACGTCCACATTAGTCGCCTATCGTTGCCAGTCTTTTCCACTTCTAAGCTGTGCGGAGATAACAGCAAGTACTCCAGTGGGACTTTCTGTTCAAGAGACTGAAGAGTTACTGTGGAAGTCCGTCCACCACTACGACTCGCAAGAACACTGTCAACGCCGTCGGATACGTAAGTTTTGTTTCTCGTTTATTTATTTCTTCTTGTGTACAACAGACGTATCCTTACTCTAGATTATTGCGCTAGGTGGACAAGAAGACTTCTGGGCCTCTTGACATTACCAGCGTGTGGTCACTGCGTGAAGGTCCATAGATATTTAACACTGTTAGTGTCTTCCGTCGATTCAGAGAGAAAGATCAGGTTGTGCGTGGGAGCTGCAAGGTGGTTCTTCGCTAGCGTAGGACTCGTGCTGCAAGATTTTAACTGGACCGTCATCTCGCCGTCACCGACGAATCCTAAGTACGGAAGCGTGATCCGAGAATTCTACAAGCTGGAAGCCACTGCCGTCACACAGGCCAAAACGCAAGTACAGAAGACGATACTCGACTTGGTTGGTAACCGCATGAGAATCATCACTCAGTTCATGCAAGAAACGCCATAACAACCCTAGGGACGTGTAACTTGGGGTGTGAAATTTGAACTCACTTGTGCAGACCTGAAGCGAGGTGTGATAACACGGTTGAAAAGCTTGATAGAACACGTCGAAGAGGACGCGTCGGATCCTGATGTATATATATAATTGGTACTGCTCTGTCCACTGGGAGAGTGAGTTCGAGCCTGTTAAATATCCTAAGCATAAATATTTGGACTATTTCTCAAGCTACGAGAGCTGGTTAAATTCAGTTGCGCTCGTAAACATCACGACCTCGTCGTCCAACAAGCATTCGATATACTCCGGATTAAGTAATATATTGTCAGCATGGACATAAAACTCCGTTCACATCAGCCGCGATAACAAACGGAATCCGGGATTCCGTTTGTCTGGTGGGATTCCGAATCCCACCAGCGCCAATAGACGGCTACATGATGCTGAGCTTAGCTGGGGACGCTAGTGGAAAGACAGACATTAAGACTCTTAATTTAAGAGGGTTCTGTTTACGTCTTGCAATAAGCCTAAAGTTTACTGGTTTTGCACCAACATAATAGGAATACAGACGGTGAATGATTAAGATTAGGTGACAGAATGGATCGAAGTAAACGACCAAGGACTCGTCACTTTTGGTGTCGTCTGCCCCCGGAATGTAGCTGTTATGAAAGCGTTCAAGGATCGAGTGAGTTACGAACATCTCTAATACGTGTCCAATCTATTCTTACGAGTTACTACTGCTTATTTAGATCTTTATATCTTCACTACCACCTTGAAAATGGGTTCCCTAGCACGCCTGCAGAAAAGAGGTCAAGGATCTCTCGTATAGTGGCGGAGGCATGGGACGATCAAGAGGTGATTGTCCGTGATTTTGTGAAAGCTGGTATTATTCCAGTCGGACCGCGTGATGCCAGCGGCCGTTTCCATTTCCCTGCAGTCGATAGCACGGAAGCTCCGATTGTATGTGATGAAGAGTAGGTAGTTAATCGTGCAAATGCAAACCTATTTTTCTTTTACAATTATATAAATATTTGTTAACCGATGAAAGGGGTGTCATCCCTATAAACTTAAATAAATGTTGAGCTTTTATTTCTTGTGTCTACCCTGAGCCCGTGTTTTGATAAATGTTCACGAAATCGAGGTAAGTGCTGATAAATATCCACAATCAACCCCATCGCATGATGTTGACGGGATTGGACGCTCCTGGTTCAGTTGACAATTCGCTTCGAACAGCACAAGCCGCAATCTCCCCGCTAGAAACATGGGACTGAAGACGATGAACGTGAAGACACTGGCGATGTCCGCGCTTGCAGCACTGCTTCTGCTCTCTGGTGCGTCTGCCATGTTTGAAGAGAAGCAGATTGATCCCGAGGACTTGTGCCCGACTAGATGCACTCGCGAGTATATCCCGATCTGCGGCTCCGATGGAGTCACCTACGCCAACAAGTGTCTATTCAAGGTCGGTAGGTGCTTGGATTCATCTCTGAAGAAGAAGCACAAGGGCGAATGCAAGCATCTCCGTAAGAGGAAGCATTACTAACTTAGCAAACCTAAGACCATGAGTCATGTTTCAATCGTTCATCGCCTGGTTTTCTATTGCCAGAACGAATGTTTGCAAACCTGAAGAGCGTCGAGCTGGTACAACGTCATTTGCTTTCCTGAAAGCGAAATGGTATCGTCACGACAACTCTCCTGTCCATGCAAAATGTCCTCTTTCAACAACACAAATAGAAGGCGGTCCACTAATCAGAGTTAGACAATTCTCACCAATCGTTATCGTTCTTCTCTATCATTGGCTAAAATCCCAACTCTATCCACAACAAATCGCAATCGTCGACGTAGCATCTCGGCGCCAAAAATGGCGTTGTTCGACTTGTTCCGGTGCGTGTTATCTCCCCTTCTACCCTCCTGCAGCACTTCACACTTCATCCAACAAGTCTCCCTTGTCTTGCAAGTATCCTCATCTAACTTTTATCTTGTAATTCTCTCTGGTTCTCTCAAGACTGTGCCCGAAGACCTGAAGGTGGACACGTACTCGGGTAGATTCTTCTCACTGCTGCCCTTCGCCATCATGGGACTATTACTGGTCACCCATTGGGAAGCTTATCACTACTAGAGTACCTAGTCTACCGTCGTAATGGACTAGCACCAGGAGGATCGACTGCGTGTTAACTTTACCGTAAGTCTGTTCAATGTACCTTGTTCCGTCGCAAGCGTCGATCTCGAAGACCGCATGGGCCAGCGCTTCACCAACCTCACGCGCCACATCCGCCACATCCGCCTCGCTGCTGACCGCTCCTCCAATGAAGTGCAGCGTTTGGATGAGGTGGTGATCGACAACCACGAGAAGGGTATCCCCGTATGGGGAGATGTCCACCGAGACACCAAGGTCCAGTACTCGACACCTTTGACCACCAAGAACTTCGACGATTTCATGGCCATAATCGAACTCGTACTTGTGACTTTCTACGCTCCCTGGTGTCCATTCTGCCACCAACTCCACCCTGAATGGGAGTGCACGTCAGCCCAATTGCAAGACCACCCAGAGTACAGTGAGATGGTGCGTATGACCTCAGTGGACTGCACAGACCCGGAGGCTGTGTGGCTCTGTCGTCGCGGACACATCCGTGCATTTATTCTATGCTAATCTACATGTACGGAAGCACGTCCACGCGTTATATCTGCAACGTACCGCGCAAGACCGAGCACCTATTATAGTTCCTGGACCTATGTTTTCCCGTCATCTGGAGCCTGATGCCGATTGGGCTGAAGAAATGAACGTGAACAACGACCGCCTTGGTCTCCCGTGGCCGGTTCGAGTGAGCCAGGAGAACTTGGAGGGCATTGACTTTAAGTAGTGCCGTCCGTCCAGCACGATACAGACTGTTGCAGTGGAGGGATGCGAGATATCGGGAAGTATCAGTGTCAATCGTGTCCCCGGCGTCCTTGTGTTCACCGCGCGCTCCGACGACACGTCGTTTAATGCACAAGCCATCGATGTCTCCCATGTCGTAAACCACTTCTTCTTCAGTAAAGTGCGACGTACCGACAATTTGTTCAAAGGAGGCAGCCACATGCTCGCAGAGCCGTCGAACCGATTCCCGCTGGATACGAAGATGTACATGATCGAGAGCGAAAACGTCACTGTGCAGCACTTCTTGAACGTACGTGCAGTGCAGGTTTGAGAGGGATAATTCTGACTCTGCTGTGGCCGATGCAGGTTGTGGGCTTTGGCAACCAGGATAACTCATGGAAGACGCAGTTACAGCAGCGATCTTATGAGTTCTCAGCTACTACCACACAGTACGAGGACAAGACGCCGTATGCGCTCTTCACGTTCGATATCTCGCCGTTGGTAGTGTAAATCACAACGGATAATATTCTGTTCTATCACTTCATCACCCACCTGTGCTGCCTACCAGAGATCTGATTATATTCGCATAATTCATATATGATACTAAAGCGATACCCTTTTTTACATCAATTGGTGCGCTCTTATACAGTAAACGAGTTGGTAAAATTGATACCTTTGTAGACAAGTGAAAAACGCACCTCTCCCGTAGTTTTAATTGTCCGATTAACCATAATATTTTAAATTATTGTATAAGATCTTAGAATCTTTGAAGCGAGCTACTAGTATTGGTAAACACTCTAATCACTCAAACTAGTATTGGCTTTTAATCACCCACACGAATGTTTACCCTGTCGGCGACGGTCCCATCTTCGTGCAGCACGTAACTGCAAGTAATTTACCCAGTTACTTATTTCTGAATTTTTTGTGGGTCCAATGCAAAAGCCTGATTATCCCATAGAGCTATTCCAGCAATATTTTGATGATCCACGACCCAGCTACATATCCGCCGTTCCCGAACTGCCTGTAGTATATTCGAGCAATCTACACACTGGAGCCCGATGTGGGGTGAATCTCACATTTATTGCTGGTGCGGTTCGTACAGTATATTTAGGAACAGGTCGAGAAAAAAAACTACGCAGCCATACAGGCGCTGGAGAGATGCTAGAGCAAAACGTAGACAGAGTAAGCATATTTCGTGTCATATCGACGGAGTCCACACTGGATTCCCCCGGGGAGTAACCAGGTGCTGAAAAGATAGCCGCCATGCTGCATCATATCGCTGTACAATATAATATCCTAAATATCAGTCAATTCGAAACTTACCTGATACCCACTACTTCCTCTCGCTGCAAATGATTACAAGAATGCAATATAATCTTGGATAGGTTCTATACACTGTAACAGGATGTCCTTCAGTTCTTTTACAGTGGAGCAGTAACCCGCGCACGTTC